TGACCCCACCCCAGGTGCTGGTCTATGATTTGCCAGTGACCTTATGGTCAGAAAGGGAAGATCAACAAACAGTTGGTGACACATGAGAGCTCAGGGGAGGGTTCAGGCCCTTAAGTCCCCTCCCTCCACCTTGCTCAGGGCTCTGGGCCTCGGAGCAGGTGTCTCACAGTGTGGAGGTGCAGGCCAGGGGAGGCTCAGTGTGAGGACACATGCCCTGTGCTGAGCTCAAGGCCACTCTGTGGGCACTCAGTCAGTGACAGGCTTTGCTGATACCACGTGATAAACCAAGAGGATCCCCAGGATGAACAGTAAGGACCATTGGTCTCCTTCTGGGAGCGCCTGCTGCTCTGGAAAGGGCTGGGAGCAGAGCAGGTAAAGTTCTCCTCCCACAGGCTACTGTTCCTGTGCCTCTCTGAGGACCGGGCCCTCCAGAGCAAGGAGGGGACAGGGCATGCTTTCCTTCCTTCCTTCCTTGTCGAGAACAGCACCCTGAGAGGATTCTAACAGGCTCGGGTTCCCTGTAGACCTGGATCCCTGGTGGAGGAGCTGCTAATGTAGGGCCTTTCCTGGGTCTGCCTGTAAATCCCTGTGTCTCAGGGACCAGCCCTCCAGGCCTGCAGGGTAGGAGCAGAGCTGGGTCACTCACCCAGGGAGTGTTCCCCATGTGGGTGACACAGGGGTTCCCAGTTCAGAAAGCACAGGAGCTCACTGTGTGGCTCTTACATAAAGCCCTGCATGCTCTCCCTAAGCCATGAGACTGAGAGGGTCAGCACACTGTGGGCTTCACCCCTGTGCCCACCCTGTAGAGCTGGAGGTCCAGGCAGCCTCTTTCATTCAGTGTTAATACCAGCATCGGGAACAGAGCCCAGATCTGATTTCAGCAGAAGCTTCTTGCTGTCCTGGGATTGGACACTGTCCCCACAGAGGGGCCAGGGCATAGGAGAGGCTCAATACAGATCCTGACCTGACCCACTGGGCAGGGAGCAGCATCTCTGCTCCACCTCCATCTCCCACAGGCTCAGGAAGCCACTCACATTCACACCCTGAAGCCATAGTGAGTGGGAAACCTCTCCTGAAGATCAGCCATATCTCCTTCCATGCGGAGATGCCCCAGCAGGACACACAGAGCTGCTCTGTTGTTTGTGGTGGGTGGGGTCGGGTGCTGCGCATAGGGATCAGGTAGGAAACTGAGGCCAAAAACTGCCAGACCCAGAATTCACTTAGAAATTTTACATTAAAATGTCTGACATGGATCTAGACATCTAAATAACTAAAAATAGTTACTCCAGAAGGCTCTAAAACACATCCAGGGCTGAAAACCTCTGAGCTAGATTTCTTGAAGCCCAGGGAAAAGTTTGGAGGTACTTCCTCAGGTAAAGCTGGTCCCCCATGAAGGAGAGTGTGGGAGCCCTCTCAGGTGTGGACACTTCAGGACAGCACGTGCTGGGCTCAGCTCCCCAGGACCTGTGGCAGGGTCTCCTTACAGAGCCCACTCAGATCCAGCGTCATCCTGGGGCCCACATCTGACATGTGTCTGTCTCTGAACAGGAGCTGGAGCCACTGAGCCCTGCCTCTTCAGCACACAGCCCTCCCTGCCATGATGACCCAAAATGCCACTCAGGCATCTGTCCCTTGTCCCTTCACAGAGCCCCACTTTATGGAAACAGCTTCTCTGGATGAAACCCCTGTGATGCTGTTCATGATGTGAGAAGCACTTTGCCACCTTGTTTCCTGTGGGGACTCTTAAGAACACAGGGAGAGGGCGGGGGTGCAGCTCAGTGGTGGCCGCCTGCTGAGCACCCTGAGGCCCTGGTAGACTCTCAGTCCCTGGCGGAGGGTGGGGGGGCAGGGAAACAGGCGGAGCCCCGTCATCCTGTGGTGTCTGCTCCTCCTCTCACTGGGATCCTCCTGGCAGCTGCAGTAACAGGATGAGACTGTTCCTGGGGTCCCCACTGCATTTGTTGCTAAACAATGAATGTGTGGGTTAGAAGGTGACAATAGCAGCCACAGATGTCATTTATTGGGCACCTACTCCATTCCAGCACCGTCCCTTGCCTTCACCCTAGTCTTCCAAGATGGTGCTTTTAAGAACTCTCTATAGAAGGGGACACTGAGGCTCAGCAGAAAAAGAACAGGTGTTACCTTGTCCTCCTGTGTGGATGACAGGAGTCTGCTCTATCCCCTCTCCCCCAGCCTGGGGCCCTTGGCCAACCACTTCCCTCTCTGAGCCTTGTCCCATAATGGGCTCTCAAAGGACCCCTCACAAGGCAGGGGGTTATCAACAGCTGAGGGGCTCCAGGGGCTCAGGGCAGCATCAGGATGCTGGTCAGCTCCTGATAAGTGGCCAATGAGTAGAGTCCCTAACCCCTCTAGGGCCTTCCAGGCTTGGAGTCTGGGAGACTCCAGTTCTACAGGGACATCCTCCATATTGTGCACTCCAAGTGTCGGGAGCATGTCAGGCAGTGACTTGCTGATACAAACTTGCTGATACAAACATTCATGAAATTTGCTGCCTGGCAACCGCAGTAGAAGGTGCTGGGTGGTGATGAGCAATCTGGAGACACCAAGGGACCGTCTAAGGACCCAGATTCAGAAAAGCACCCCTTCATCCTCTCCCTCTCAAAATCAGGCCTTGGCCCAGGTGAGGCCCATGTCATATTTGTGCAAAGAAGAACAATTGGGGTGAATTCAGAACCACCTTTGGATGAGCCCTGCACAGAATAATGTATGGGAGAAGGAGGGACCTGGATCTGTTTTGTTTGTTTTGGTTTGGGTTCTAAGGATAGACTCCAGGGGTGCTTTAATACTGAGCTTCATCCTCAGTCCTTTTTATGTTTTATTTTCAGGAAGGTTCTCGCTAAGTTTCCCAGCCTGATCTTGAAATAGCAATCCTCCTGCCTCAGCCTCCCCAGTCTCTGGGCAACACGTCCTACATTTGCTAAGATTCCAAGGGCAGCTCTGTGTGATCCAAAGCCAACTGTGCTCAGTGTGGCCTGGGGAAGATTTGCCAACCACCCCACTCCACAGATGAGGTGCTGGGCCACGTCTCAGCATGGAGAGCCTGGTTCCCACATTCATGGTGATGTTCTTGTGCCATTTGTATCCTATATTTTTTCTAAAAATGACTACTCGAGTGGCCTAAATTATAGAGCAGGCCAGCAGGACACAGTTGTTAACAAAGAGTGAGACAGGGCTGTGAGGTCCTCCCTGGGCCCAGGTTGGTAGTGATGCCCTGGTGCTGAGAGGAAGGCTCTGACCTCAGGCTGGAGCAGCACCTGGGCTGACGTTCCACACTGTCTGGCTGGACAGCTGTGCTCATTTAGAGACAGGAGGGTAGGGACACCCCACAGGATAAGCACAGCACTCAGAGAGCTTTATGAGAATTTAAAAATCATGTCTTGTCATTTCTGGTGTAGCCAGTGACAGAGCACGTCCTTAGCATGCACTGGGTCAATCCCCAGCACAGCAAATAATAATACCAACGATAATAACATCTTGGAAGGGTCTTCAGAGTGTCAATTGCTGTGGTCCAAGGTGGTCTCTTGATCATCTCATTTGTCTGTCAGTTCCCCTTTACAGCCAGAACTTGTCCCCACATGGTGTTGGGTCCTGTGACCAGAGCCACACCTGGGCAGAAGGTGAGTTCCACCTGCAAGTCCCATGGCTCCTCCCCCTGCAACATCACCTTGAACTGGTTCAAAATGGGAATGAGCTCTCACACGTCCAGATCAGCATGGATCCCACAGAAGAAAGTGTGTCCTACAGTGTGTCTAGCACAGCCCAGGTGACCTAGCCCCAGGAATGTCCACTCCCAGGTCATCTGCAAGGTAGCCCATGTCACCCTGTAGAGGGGAGGGCTTCTCTTCATGGGACTGCCAACTTGTCTGACACCATCCAGGGTACAGGATCCTGAACCCCAGCCCAGCAAATTTAAGCAGTGTTTGATTTCATAATTGAGCTGCACGTTCATTGCTATATGCACCACGATCACTCCAGGCTGAAAGAGGAGACCCCATCATGAGCTGGAATCTCTGTGAAACAGGGAAGCTGAGCCAAAGACTCTCACAGTCAAATGCATGTCCCACTAACTGTACCCACTCCCCCAAAACTCAGGAGTCTCGGGGGCTACATGATCCCACCCAGTATCATGGTCCATGAAGTAGCAGTGACCTTGTGGTCAGAAAGGGAAGAACAACAAACAGTTGGTGACACATGAGAGCTCAGGGGAGGGCTCAGCCCTCAAGTCCCCTCCCTCCACCTTGCTCAGGGCTCTGGGCCTCAGGGGCAGGTGTCCCACAGTGTGGAGGTGCAAGCCAGGGGAGGCTCAGTGTGAGGACACGCCCTGTGCTGAGCTCAAGGCCACTCTGTGGGCACTCAGTCAGTGACAGGCTTTGCTGATACCATGTGATAACCCAAGGGGATCCCCAGGATGAGCAGTGACCACCCTGTGTCTCCCCCCAGGAGCGGCTGCACAGGAGCTGCAGGTGATCCAGCCTGAGAAGTCAGTGTCTGTCGCTGCTGGAGAGTCAGCCACTCTGCACTGCACTGTCACTTCCCTGCTCCCCGTGGGGCCCATCCAGTGGTTTAAGGGGGCAGGGCCAGGCCGGGAGTTGATCTACCACTTCTTAACTGGCCACTTCCCCCGAGTCACAAATCTCTCAGATACCACAAAGAGGGACAACACGGACCTTTCCATCCGCATCAGTAATGTCACCCCAGCAGACGCCGGCACCTACTACTGTGTGAAGTTCCAGAAATCGACCCCTGTTGATAAGGAGTATAAGTCTGGACCAGGCACTGAGTTGTCTGTGCGAGGTGAGTGCAGCTGCCTCCTCCTCCCTGGGGTGGGACAGGAGGTCAGGGGTCACGCCCTCCACCCTGGGGGCCACAGCTGAGAAGCAGGAGCAGCACTGGGTGCTCATGTCATGACCTGCTGTCACCCCTTCTGCAGGTCAGGGAGGCAGAGGCCTGTGGAGGCTGTGCTATGTGGTCCAGGCTCCATGGCTGGTAAATGGGGGGCATCTGCACCCCTCACCTGCCTGCTCCACACCACCCATGCCAGTGCTGTGCCTTGCCTTCACACTTCACGGGCAGGACGGTGTTTTTAATCACTCTCTACAGAAGGGGACACTGAGGATCAGGGGGAAAAAAAAACAGGTGTTAGATTAATGGTCCTGTGAATGACAGGAGTCTACTATGTTCCCTTCTCCTGAGCCTGGTGCCCTTGACCAGCACCCCGCTCTCTGAACTTTATCCCATAAAGGACTCTCACTCAGACCCCCTCACAAGGCATATGGGAATTGAGGAGCTGAGGGGCTCCGAGGGCTCAGGCCATCGTGATGCTGAGCAGACCTTTATGAGTGGCTACTGATAGAGTTCTAACCCCTGTAGGGACGTCCAGGCTGCTGGGGTCTGGGTGACTCCGCTCCTTCAGTGACACCCTCCAGATGTATGTAACAGGTGTCAGGCAGTGAGGTCAATATTTCTAATACCAATGATCCTGATACTTGCTGCCTGGTGACAGCTGTAGAAGGTGGTGGGTGGTGAAGAACAATCTGAAGACAGAAAAGGACCCATCTGAGGACCCGTCCACAGGCAGATGGCCTGCTCATCCTCTCCCCTGAGTGCCCTCAGGACCTGCCCAGGGGCCTGGTCTGCATCTCTTACATTAGCCACCAGTTATGAACTTAGCCCTGCGGCTTCCTCTGCACTCAGTGACCTCTGACTTCAATGCAAAGTGACTCAGGGAAGCCCAGATTCAGAAAAGGATCCTTCCTCCTCTCCTTCTCAAATTAAGTCCTGGCCCAGGTGAGACCCATGGCATGTTTGTCAAAAGAGGAACAATCAAGGTGAATTCATAACCACCTGTGGTCGAGCCCTGCATGGAATAAGTCTGGAAAAGATGGACCTGGGATTGTTTTGGTTTTGTATTATTTTTTTACTTTGGGTTGAGGATTGAAATCATGGCACTCTACACTGAACTACACCCCCAACCCTTTTTATATTTTATTTCAAGGCAAGTTCTTGCTGAGTGTCCCAGGCTGGCCTTGAATTTACAATCCTTCTACTTCACTCAGCCTCCCCAGTTGCTGAGACGACAGACTTGGGCCAACACGTCCAGCATGTGCTTGTTCCCAGAAGCGTCTCCCTAATGTCCCAAGGCCAGCTGTGCTCACTGTGTCCTGAGAGGAGACCTGCAACACTCCCAGTTCACTGATGTGGCACTGGGCCAAGTCCCAGCCTTGTTCCCGTGTTCATGGTGGTGTCCTGGTGCCATTTGTCCCCTGCATTTGTTTCTATTAATAGCTCCCCTGGGTGCCAATCGTTCCAGGGCAGGCCAGAGGAATCAGTTGTCAAGAGAGGGGGAGACAGGTCCCCATTTCCTCCCTGAGCCCTGGTGCTGAGACGAAGCAAGACCTCAGCCCTGGAGCAGCTCCTGGGCTTCAGGTCCTCACCGTCTGGTGGACACTGTGCTCGCCTACTCGGGAGGGTAGGGACACCAACAGGGACGAGCACAGCACCCAGAGAGCTTTAATAGGAGGATTCAGAAGTGCATCATGGTCCTGATAACAGATGTAGCCCAGTGACAGCGCAGACGTTCAGCATGCACCTGAGGATGACCCCAGGACAGCAAATAATAAAGACAACAAAGACAACGTCTAGGAAGGGTCTTCACAGTGTCACTCGCTGTGGTCAGAGGTGGCCTCCTGATCACCTGACTTGTCTGTCAATCCCCTTCACAGCCAGACCTTCTCCCCCCAGGGTATCAGGTCCTGGGACCAGGGCCACACCTGGGCAGACGGTGAGCTTCACCTGCAAGTCCCACGGTTTCTCACCCCAGAACATCACCCTCAAGTGGTTCAAAAATGGGAATGAGCTCTCGCACACCCAGACCAGCGTGCACCCCACAGGAGAAAGTGTGTCCTACAGTGTATCCAGCACAGCCCTGGTGACCCTGACCCCTGGGGACGTGCACTCTCAAGTCATCTGTGAGGTGGCCCACATCACCCTATGGGGGAGCCCTCTTCGTGGGACAGCCAACTTGTCTGACACCATCCGAGGTACAGGACCCTGCTCCCCACCTCAGCACACACTGCCCACCCAGCCCGCTGCTCCCCAGGGACCTTTGCTCCAGGACCTCAGTGGCCTGGGCTCTAATTCCCAGCAGTGCTGCCACCTGCCATGCATGTTGGACTCCTGCCCTGTGGCCAGCATGAGCTGGTGGCTTCATTTCATTGAACATCAGCAACTAACACAACTGAGCTCCTCCCAGAGCTGAGCCTTGACATGCAGGGAGGTTCCATCTATTGTGCTCACTCCCGTGCAAACCCCCAGTGTCTGAGCCCCTCTGCATGCCTGGCCCTGTCCCAAGGGAGGCCCTTGCCCTGCTGGGAGGAGCTCAGCTGTCTGTCCCATAAGGACACAGCATCTCCCTGTGCTGTTTCAGTTCCGCCCACCCTGGAGGTCAACCCACAGCCCACTATGGCATGGAACCAGGTGAACGTCACCTGCCAGGTGAAGCACTTCTATCCCGGGAGCCTACAGCTGACCTGGGTGGAGAATGGAAATGTGTCCAGGACAGAAACAGGCTCGACCCGCTCAGAGAACAAGGACGGGACCTTCAACCTGATGAGCTGGCTGCTGGTCAACTCCTCTGTGCACAGGGAGGACGTGACGTTCACCTGCCGGGTGGAGCACGATGGGCAGCCAGCCACCACCAGGAGCTACACCCTGAAGGTCTCTGCTGGCCCCAGGGAGCAAGGCCTGGACAACACCCCTGGTGAGGCCTGCATCCTAGCTGACCGAATGCTTTAAACTTCATCTTGACTCTGTGTGTTGTGACATGAGAGCAGTGACCCCCCCTTCCCCCAGGG